TTCTTGGATTGTTATCGTTTCTGTTGTACCTACCATGGAACCCAAACGTCAGCTCTAACTGCTGCATGTTTGTCAGAACGCATTGTGCATGGTGACATTTTACAAGAAGATGGTGCAGACTTTCACTTTTCATCACCCTCCCCCATCACTGAATGGTTATCATGTTCTCCTGCTCTCTCACAGCCTTCCTGTCTCGAAGGCTTCCACTCACATGGACTCCAGGCACACTTTCTAGTTATTTTTACCCACTCTCCTACCATAGAGACATTAGGAAGACCCTATTTAGAATTTTATGTTCAATTTTTATTGCTATGGTTTAAAGCAAGAGGTAGAGAAATTAGACATAGAGGCAATGAGGTACAAAAAAAGAGAGACTGATCTAAAAATAAATGCTGACTATCACTTTCTGGCTATGTGACCTTTGACAAAGGGTAAGGCTAGGAGAGGGGGTGGAAAAGAATAATAATGGAGTCCCATTTTGTGCCAGGTGCCTTACACATACCTTGTTTAATACAACAAACCTGCAAGATAAGTTCTTTTATCCCTACTCTTTTAGGATCTTTTCTTATTAATTTATTTTTCAAAGATTAATAAGAGACATATTCAAAATCTAAAGCTCAAAGAATTTAAATAAATTGCCCGGAGTCACAGAGCTTTAATAACAGAGCTAGGATTTAAATTCAGGTCTAACTGTAAAGTTCAGTAAGTATTAGTTCTCTGCCTCTAGGGAAAGTACAGAGAATAGCAATTTGTATTGCCAAAAGGGATCAGAAGTAGATTTTATGGGCAGAAGTTTGAGAACTTAAGTTGCTTAGCTTAAAAGGAAGTTTTAATCACCATTTTTAAAATGTGGAGAGTCTCTAAGGAATTTGCTGAACAATTATTATTTGTGTCCATAAACAGTACTTAAAAATTCAAAGTAACATATATATATTGTAGGATATAAGGAAGAATTTTTCTGGGCCAGTCTCATTCACAGGACCTATTGTTTGCAAGGTACTTTTCCAGGGCTGAGAATCTCAAATGAATAAACTAAAATCTGATGGTCCAGTAAGAATAGGCCAGAACACACAGGTGCTCGATATATGATGGAGATTGCTCAATAATTAGACAATAAGATGTGGTAATGACCTGCAAGGAAGATAATCACATCTCTGGGATTCTTCAAATAGAACAAGAAAAATAGCCTAAAAAAGAAGCTAGAAGACATACAAAACCATCCATACTAGACAGTTTAGACTAGTGATTCCTAACTTTTTGAGAATGGTAACACTCCAACCATGTTTAATTTTGCATTGTTCCTTCCTCAAGAAATTATATGTCCATAGCTATTCATTCAACAAATCTTTACCACATGATCACTCTATTTAAGAGACCACTATAGGACTAAAATCACCCTTTACTGTTTTCACCACCTAAGGCCAACTTTCCATTCTTCCTTTGGTTATCCAGCTTCTATATGGGTGACCATAGTTGGATTTTTTCATGAAATTACAGAGGTGGCTAGAATCCTTCAAATTCATAACATGCAGGCTTCTTCCTTCAATCAGGTGAATTTCCAAACTAGTGATTTCTAACAATGATTTTGGAGACATCCAGGCTGTCTGTAATTGTTTTGGTTATTTCAAGAGATTTCATTAAATTTTTAAGGTTTTTACTTGTAATATCTATATGAATAAAGGTAAACATACCTATGCATACATCCAGGATCACTTAGAGTGATCTATACGATTTAAACTAGAGATTTTTACTTTTCAGGAGATGTAATACCGCCTACTTGTTTTGTAATCTCTCTCTCTTAAAAGTTCAATATATGGGGCCAGCCCTGTGGCCAGGTGGTTAAGTTCATGCACTCTGCTTCAGCAGCCCAGGGTTTCACCTGTTCGGATCCCGGCTGCGGCCATGGCACTGCTAAGCAAGCCATGCTGAGGCGGCATCCCACGTAGCACAACAAGAAGGGCCTACAACTAGAATACACAACTATGTACTGGGGGGCTTTGGGGAGGAGAAGCAGAAAAAAAGATTGGCAACAGATGTTAACTCAGGTTCCAATCTTTAAAAAAAAAGTGTGATATAAATCAATTAGCTTTGAACTTAGAAAAAGGGAAAACTCAGGGTCCCTTTCATATCTGTAATTCATTTGAACCTATCAATCTTCAAAGACAGGCAAATCTAACACTGACATTTCTTATTCCCATTGCCCCCAAATCAATGTAAATTTTGGTTTGACAAAATTCTGATAGTCTAAGGTAATGAAATAAAGACAATGCAATGCATGGACTTGAACTTTCCACCATGCTAATTATAATAGGAAGAATACTAACAGACAACTTTTAATGAGTGCTTACTATGTGTCAGGATGAATTTTCCTCAAGTATTTTCTCATTTAACCCTACAACACATGTATATAAGGCAAACTATCTTAAAAAAAAAAAAAGAATTAAAGATAGCTTTGGTTTATGCCATATTCTTGAGATCCTCACCTGTTTCACAAGTACATCACTGAAGAAAGAACTGAGAGGAAGCTGGATCTTCCTGAGCCGCAGTTTTCTTATCAGGTTATACAACTGTGCTGTTCATTATTTTTGGCATTTTCCTATGGCTAGAAAAAAAGTGTTGACAATTTTCTGCATCTATAACATTTTGGATGAGCAATTTCCATCCTATTGTGTTTCCTCACATATGGTGTTCTAGCTTAAATAGCACTGGTATTTTTAACCTGCACAACGTTAGCACGCTACTTTGAATTATTCTTCACCAACAAGTATCCAAACCACCTAACACCAATGAGAAAATTACATGTGTATTATTTAGGCTGGTGTTTTAATTGATTTTCAGACATAAATTTTCCAACAGAATCATTATTTTATGGCTAGAAGTCATCATAAAGATTATCTAATTGGGCTACTGCTTTTAACAAGTGAGAAGCCACAGCAGAGAGGTTTAAATGTCTCTCTTAGGTCGGATTAGCTAGTTAGTAGTAAAAAACACTAATAGCTGTCCAATTCTTTTTCTATATAAAAAAGTCAATAATTATGATAAAATTCACATTATTTTGCAGTGTCCTGCAGAAGATGTGTCAATAATAAATAATTGGCACATTTTTATAGTACGGTGTTATCTCAGGACTAAAATTTAACATTTGTTTCTTGTGTCCCTTAATAAATCTACATATATACAAATTGCTTAACAGTTGGAGATTGATTGACATAAATGTGTTTATATTTTAGACTAATACTACATGACTCAAAATAGAACCAAACAACTGTCATCCCATATGGATGCAGGTGAATTTGTTGTTTTGAGAGGGAGAAAGTTGAGCAAATTCCTCATTTCTTCTTATCAAGCCATCGGGATTGTCCCTGAGGGTAAGTGGTTCTAGGAGCTTAGAGATCGGTGAAGGTTGGGATAGAAATGAGAGGGAATGACAAGAGAGTTGACTAAGCCTTAAGACATGTGGTAGCACATGCAGATAAAATTGCTCAATAAAAATAATGGCTGACATGACCAAGGACTTGCTAGTGTCTGACACTCCTCTTAGTATTCTGCTTGTATTAAATAAATCTACAGCTCACAACAACCCTAGGTATTTTTCTCATTTTGTAGACAAAGAAATTGAGGCTCAAAGAGGTTAGATCATTTGCCCAAGTGAACCAGCTCCTAAGTGGTGCAGCCAGGATTCAAACACTGACAGTCCTCAAGGCCTATGCTCCTAAACACAGTTTAATGGTTAGGATAAAACCAGGAAAGTATGTGCTGTTTAACGCAGTGCCTAACGTGCCTGGCTCCCAAGCAGGAGCTCCATCAATGTTAGTTCCCCCGTTTTCAGGTTTCCAATCCACTCTCTCCACATTTATTTATCCATCCACTCCTTACTCCCTAAACACACATACACATAACCACACATTCACACACACTCCAGTTTTTTTTTTTGTTTTTTGTTTTTTGTTTTTACCAACAAAGTCCACACTCAGGTGTCTAGGTAATTAGGTATCCAACTTCTATTCATATACTCTCCTTCCTCATAGGACTTAAGCTCATGTATGTACAATGAGTCTCAGGACCAGCATCCACTCTCCCACATTTCTCCAGGTAAATGTAAACACGTACTAATACTGACTGGGTTACAAAACACATGGACATGCAGAGCCCATACATAGCAGAATTCAACTCAATAAGGATTTCTCTTTTCCCGTTATCCAGGGAAATGCATGAGTTACCATGACAAGATGCCAGACATCTGGCTCTGGGAGTGGAATTTGGGAGGCAGTGGTGAAATGAGGTAAGATATTCCAGGGCCAGAAGGTGGATGCAAGTCATGAACTGCTTTTCCCAAGAGTTTGCTCTTTTCGGATAAGTGCTACACGTACAAGCCCCAACCCGCTGCCATAGCCTACAGTCCCCTCCGCCCGTTGCTGAACCCCGCTCAGGCTGAAGCAGATGAACACACAGCGGGGAAGCTCATTTGCAGGAGACGAGTGTTCCCTTGCTCTATTTTAATGCTTGCCGCCAGGCCGGGGAAAGAGGATTTGTCAGAAATCAGGGAGAAGAGAGACAGCCAAGCTTTCTCTTGCAAAGATTAGGCAGCCCCGGAGCAGCTATCATGACTTGCACAGTATTTAATGGTTCACAAGAAAACAAGTTTCTCTCCAGCCTGCGCGCACTTTTGGAACCAGCTCAGGCAGCTGCGGGCAGCGCCGGGGCGGCGTCCTGCGCGGGTCGGCGGGGACGAGGGCCGAGGGCCGCGCGGGAGGCTCCGGGAACCGCCCCTCGCTGATCCCAAGGATCCGGCAGGCCTGAAAAATACCCCGCCCGGCCGGAGAGCGGGAAGGCCAAGTTCAAACGCACCGGGTCCAGCCTGAGGCGGGTCTGGGAAGGACGCCGAGACACCCGGCCAGCCCGCCGCGCCCAGCTGCTGAGCCGACCCGAGTTACTGCGCCTGCGCGCTCTGGGTCCCGCCCCCCAGGCCGCTTTCCGAGGCTGCGCGCCCGGCGGCCGCCGTTGCTTAGCAACGCGCGAGTCACAGTCGCAGCTCTGCGCGGGCCCTTTTCCGGGCCGGGCTCAGTCCCTGATCCTCCCGTGAGGCTCCTTGCTGCCGCGTGTCAGGCCATAGGAGCCCATGGAGGGAGAGGAGGATAAGCAGCAGTAAGTGCTGGGGTTTGGTTTCCTAATTCCACTTCCGAAAAATATTTTCCTCTTTCAGGGCATGAGCTAAGTGAGACCGAGGGGCGGGTCCTCAGGCCTTCTGGGCATTTTCTCTTCCAGTCTTCTTCCTACCTCTCATTTCTAGTGGTTGAAAGCTTAAAATAATACTTTTTAAAACACGCCGTTTACTGGGCACATGCCGTGTGTCAAGCAATTTACATGCATTGCTTGGCTTAAAATTCTTGAACTCACGTTGAATCATCCATTCCTTCTCACCGTCTCCCCCAACATCTAATTTATTAGCAAATTCTGTAGGCTGTACCTTTAAAATATATCCAGCATCGCCCACTATTTATCACTTTCACTATCATCCCCACTCTGGCCCAAGTACCGGCGTCTCTTACTTGGATACTGCAATAGTCTTTGCTGCTCCCTCCGCCCCTCTGCAGCCTCCTCAACACAGCAGTCAGAGGGATGTTTTACAACGTAAGTTAGATCACTGTTCTCCATTGGCCGTTACAAAGCAAAAGCTAAGGCTCCTATAATGCCCTGTGGGGCCTACACAACATGCCCCTTTTCGCTTACTTGGCCTTATCTGCTGCTTGCCCTCTGATGCGACTCTGCTCCAGCACACAGGCCTCCTTGCAATCCTCCGCAGTGACCCTCAGACTGTGGTCCCCAGACCAGTGTCAGCATCACCTGGGAACTTACTGGAAATGCAGATTCTTCTGGGTTCCCACCACAGACATGCTGGATCAGAAGCTCTGGGAGTAGGGCACAATAATTGGGTTTTAACAAGGCGATTCTGATGTCCTCTAAATTTTGAGTACTATTGAATCGAGGTATTACAGCTCATTATGAGGTGGAGCCAGGGGATATCTGCTTCCAAAGCCTGTATTTTTGTCACAACAGTGGTTCTCAGACTTTAGCATATATCAGAATCACTTAGAGAACTGGTTAAAACAATTTCTGGAAACCTGCCCCAGAGATTATGATTCAGTATGTTGGGATGAGGCCTGTGAATTTGAATTGCTAACAAGCTGGCGATTGATGCTGATGCTGCTCCTCCAGGGACCACACTTTGAGAAGCACCATGCTAAGGACAGGTACACTTGTGCTGCCGAGCTTTGGCAGTTACAGTTCACTCTGCTGGAATGTTTCTCCCTCAGATGTCCACTTTGCTCTCTCCCCTGGTTCCTGCCTTTTTCCATTGTCATCTTCATAATGCAGCCTCCACTCTATCTAAAAATGCAACCTACCTCCCATATACGTGCACGCCTTTTCCTCATTCCTGCTTTGTTGTTGTCCTTAGCACTTAACACAATCTAACAGACTGTATATTTTACTTATTATTTTATTTCTCATCTGCCTTCCCCACTAGAATGTGAGCTCTATGAGGGCAGGAATTTTTGTTTTTTCACTCCTGTATATATATCCTCAGTGCCTCCAACAGCACCAGGCACATAACTCAATATTTGTTGAAAGAATGAATTATTCAATGTTATTCTCACATCTCTCACAATAGGTGTTACTGTTCTCATCATGCAACTGAGGAAACCAAGGCTCAGGTAGAAAATGGCAGAGCTGGGATTCCAACCCAGGCCTGACTTCCTTTAGAGCCCATTAGTGTTTTTAACTGTGTTTTCCTTCTAGTAAGAGATTACTGTAGAATCACATATTTCACATTTATGTATCAGTCTATAGCCACTCACACCACAAGTACTTAATCGAATGAATGCATCAGTATGTAAGCAAATAGCTGCAGTCTGTTCCTCCATGGACCTGATTCCAGTACAAGTATGTTGCTGGGTTACAACGCTGAAAAGCAGATGGAAACAGCAGATGTCAGAAGTCTACAGTGATAAATCAATCACGACCTTTAAATAAATACTCAAATCTCTGGAAAGGTAGTAGAAAAAGCCTTTGAAGTTATTTACACTTTACCAGTAATCAGTTTTTCCCAATCCCTTACAGAGGGTAATTTGTGTTAGAATGCAGGGAATGAGCATCCAAAGGTACTGAATGTTGTTTGTATGTGTATTGGAGTGAGGGTTGGGCATGTACAGCTGAAACAGAGCCAGAGAGAAAAACAATTCCAGCAGATTCACCAGAAACATGTAAACGTTATAACGGCAATCCATTTATCCACAACAAATGGGGCGCTTGTCTGGACAGTGGGTACATAATGAGGAATGAAACACAATCTTCACTTTCATGGAACTTATTGACTAATAAAGAGTATTTGTAGTGCATACCAAAAACAAGTAAAAAGCTAGGTACATAAATTTTAAATTGTGGTAAGTGTTATGAAAGAAATTAACAAAGTATGAAAATAGAGGTGGAGTGAGGAAGGGGAAATCTTGGAAAAGCTTCTGAAGAGATGACTGAGACCTAAATGATAATGAGCCAGCTGTGCATGGAGTTGGGGAAGAGCCAGTCCAGGCAGGGGGAAGGCACGTGCAAATGCAAATGCCCTGAGGGGAAAAAAGACGAGTGTGTTCCAGGAACTGCGGGCTGGAGCCCATGAGGGGAGAGAGGCTTGAGTGCAGTTGAAGAGATTAGCTGGAGCCGGGTCACACAGGGCCTTCGAGCTACATACAATAAGGAGGCAGTGTTTACTGTAAATGCCGTGGAAAGCCATTTGAGGATTCTAATTGAAAAATGACATGATGGAGGAGATGGACCTGGCTTTGGTTTGAAGTAAGGTAGGGCTTATATTTTAAAGGCCATGTATAAGGCCAGACAGAGCTGCTCACTTCCTCTGTAAATCTGGAGTCATATTCACTCACCTTCCATGGGCCAGGGCTTTGATTTTAAAACCTTCTATGTAAAAAAGTATTCAAATTTTTTTATATTTCGTTCTTACCTTCGTTTTTCAAGTATGTGAAATTTTGAAATACTACCTTTTATAATGACTATTACTCCTTATTTATTTATTTATTTATTTATGCTGAGGAAGATTAGCCCCGAGCTAACATCTGTGCCAGTCTTCCTCCACTTTTGTATTTGGGTTGCCTGCCGAGTGGTATAGGTCCGTGCCTGGGATCTGAACTCGCAAACCTGGGCGGCCGAAGTGGAGCATACTGAACTTAACCACTATGCAACGGGGCTGGCCCCTATTACTCCTTGTTTAAAAGGAGAAAAATTCTGTAAATTATTTCTTTCTAAACATTTCTTTAACATTTAAAAAAATTCAATAATTTTCATTTTTCTACCAGCATAGTTATTAGAAGTAAAAAGTGATAAGAAATTGAGTTAATTGTTCTGATGCCTGCACAGGTCTTTTCTTGAAAAGATAAATAGCAGTAATCATTTAGTAGCTTTTACAAGTTTACCAGGTGAGCTTTTAAAATTAAATAGTTATCCTTGTCCAGATGGCTGAATTTACTTGGTAACTAACTTTTTAAAAAAATGGGTTAAGTTTAGCATGTAACTTAGCCACATGAATAAATACTACAAACCTGATTTGTAGGCATGATCAAATCACTACTCTTTCTTGACTTCAAGCAGATGAGAGTCTGTACACTGTACTGGTATATTGTCACGAATAATTGTTATTAACACAAATCTCTTTATCTCTTACATGATTTAGAATGAGAAGATATCCTCTCAAAATTTTAATAGCACAAGCCCCTTATAATTTAATAAAGCCTAAATTGTCTTGACTGATACTTGAAATATTTTTAAGTCTTATTTTATGTAATTATGACTCTCAGTACTATAATGTTCATTGGGATAATGATTTGCTATTTAATTCTATTTTTCAGACAGCATAAAATAGAAGATGCTGGTATAGTGTATATAACTGAAAAAAAAGAAGAAATCAAACGTGGAAAAAAACCTGGAAAAAGTATACAGCATTCAAATCCATGTGTCAGGAGAGGACGTATATATTATGCGAAATTCATTAACACAAATGCAAGAACGTGCAATGAACCAGTTCCCTACATAGATCCCAAAAAAGGGCCAGAAGAGCAGGTTGGACAGATGTTTGTTATGTACAAATACAGATTTAGATTCAGAAGCTGTTTTACAGGATACTTTGGTCGCAGACTACTTAGATGATATGACATATCTCAGACTAACACTTTTTTTTATAATCCAGTAGTTAAAAGCATAACCTGGAACTATTCTTGCAGATAACTTTTGCATACTATATATATATATGGAAGCAATCTATATATAGAAGGAATCCAAATAATTGTTTTTCTAGTTGGGTCAGCATATAACCACTCAGTAGTGCTTGGGGGTTACTGAAGAAATCTCTTCTATAATACTGTATTTGTGACACGTAGTCTAATATAAAAATTTCCCATGATACTCAGTAATTCAGATACTTTCTATAAAATAATAGCTACTGCTTATTGAAAGTGTATGAAGTGCTAGGAATGAGTTGATCCTTTATATAAGTTATATCCATTAATCTGTGCAACAGTTTCTAGGAGATATTATTGGAAATATTTTGCAGATGATAACATACTCAAAAGAAGTAAATTAACGTATCTGGGAATTACATAGCAAGCAAATGTCACAGTCAGGTTTCTGACCCAGGACTATTTGTTTAGCCAAACCACAATTTCATTCACTATCATACTAAATATATTCCATTTTTTTTTTGTCTTTCAAGTCAGGTTTGTTAAGGTATAATTTATTGTATTAATTTCCTATTGCTGCCATTACAAATTACCACAAACAAACTGTGGTTTAAAGCAACACAAGTTTATTCTCTTACGGTTCTGGAGTTCACCAGTCCAAAATCAGTCTTAATGGGGCCAGCCCAGTGGCACAGCAGTTAAGTTCACACGTTCTGCTTCAGTGGCCTGGGGTTTGCCGGTTTGGATCCCGGGTGCTGACCTAGCACTGCTTGTCAAGTCATGCTGTGGCAGGCGTCCCACATATAAAATAGAGGAAGATGGGCACAAATATTAGCTCAGGGCCAGTCTTCCTAAGCAAAAAAGAGGAGAATTGGTGGCAGATGTTAGCTCAGGGCTAATCTTCCTCAAAACAAAACAAAACAAAACAAAACAAAACAGTCTGATTGGCTGTTGGCAGGGCTGGTTCCTTCTGGAGGCTCTAGGGGAGAATCTGTTTCCTTGCCATTCCAGCTCTAGAGGCTGCCTGCATTCCTTGGCTCTTGGCCCCTTTCTCTTCAAAGCCAGCAGCATAGCATCTTCAAATGTCTCTCTGACTGATTTTCCTGCCTCTCTCTTCTGATTACATTGTGATTACACTGGGCCCACCCAGATAATCTGGGATAACCTCCCCTTCTCAGGATCCTTAGTCTAATCACAGCTGCTAAACCCGTTTTGCCATGTAAGGTTAGGTGTAGTGGTGAGTTATGTGTAGTTGTGATTTAACTTAACATTTAAGTGAGTGAGCTCTCTATACTGATAACATCAACTGTTCTTGTCGTAAAACAGATAGCACACCATGGTACTGTGTATGAATGTGAGATCTTCTTGGGGCAGGGATTCTTGTAGTCAAATATGCTTTAATATCATGTAGCAAACCCTTACAAGGGCAGTTTTAAGGTTGTTTTATTTTTAAACAAACAATTATTTGGGATTTAAAATAAATTGATAGACCAGGCCTACACTGGAGAATAAATCTGGTACAGAAACCCAGGTTAGTGAAGTTCTCGTATTTCTTACAAAAGTTAATGAACAACTCTCCTGAGCTCTAGTTTGGGAATGAATTTAAATCGGACCGTTAACTGAACCCATCCTTCCCTCGGCGACACGAAGGAAAAGAAGCTCGTTCGAGAATACAAATAAGAAATGTGAAAATTGCGAAATTTAATCCAACTGATTTTCTCTTACTCCTGGTTTGTAGGTGTCTTGAAAAAATAAATGAACAAAGTGTCAAGAGATGTTATCAGCAAGACTGGGTGACAGAGGAGCGGTAGAATCTTTGTTTATTAGTGCTAAAAGCTAAATGAGTCAGGGACCTTTAAGAGATGGTGAAAGTGAGTTTGAGATGAAGTCAGAGGGTAGGTAAGAGAGGGTGACAGTGGATGTGAATGAGGAGTTACAAAGACGAAGAGGCATCAGAAGTTAAAAGCATGCTTGATTTGGGTGTGGACTGAGGGGGGTGTTCATATTTAAAAAACAAAAACAAACAACAAAAAACCTTAAATGTACTCATTTCCAAGTACCCAAGGAGTAATAAAGAATGCTCATTTCACATATTTGTAAACTTTGTTCTTTTGTTTAGGATGACCAGTTTCTTTTTAAAGTTTAGCTTGGTTAAAAAAATTAAGCTGTTTATAGTAATGCTGGCTTTAAAATAAGAGTAAAGAAAATAAATTTGCCTAAATATTTAAATGGACATATCTATTGTCTTATGTATTTTTTTTTAAAAGATTTTATTTTTTTCCTTTTTCTCCCCAAAGCCCCCCGGTACATAGTTGTATATTCTTAGTTGTGGGTCCTTCTAGTTGTGGCATGTGGGACACTGCCTCAGCGTGGTTCCATGAGCAGTGCCTTGTCCGCGCCCAGGATTCAAACCAACGAAACACTGGGCTGCCTGCAGCGGAGTGCACGAACTTAACCACTCAGCCACGGGGCCAGCCCCATGTCTTATGTATTTTGTCAAGATAATCTCTTTAGACCTAATACCAGATTGGTTAATTTTGGTTATTTACAAGATATTTAAATGAAATAATCACTTACACAGTTCTTCCTAGGGACATAAAATTGGGAGTGCTAAAAAAAGTGAAAAAGGAGCTTTAAGCTCAGTCGTTTCCAATGAAAACTAGTTTGGTTGCCTTATATTTTTAAATATTTGTATTTTAAAAGAAATTATACTAGGTCAATATTTTCCAAAATATATTTGTTATATATTTCCAAAATATATATGTTCCAAAATATATTCCAAAATATATTTCCAAAATATATTTGCTAGCAAAATATATTTGCTAGCCCTTGCCTGTGTGCTCAATGAAGTAAAGTTCCAGAGTCAAATATATTTTGGAAAAGCTGTATTTTTATCTAGTACCCTTCTCAGAGCTTTACAATTCATGTTCGTATATAAAGGTTCTGAGAAATCCTGTAATAACCTTGTTTAACTTGCTTATCTCAATATTTCCCAAATTTACCTAACTATGGAAACCTCTTTTATGTAACACCTATTAATATGCTGCATAACTAGTGTTCCACAGAACACAGTTTAGGAATAATTGTTATTGGGGACATTATGAATTGCTTAAAAAGAGGTATATTTTCAGTACTCCTGGTATTCACAGCAAAAGAGAGAATTGAAATACAATGTAACTGTAGTTAGCACTTCAGTTTTTTAAAGTCTCCAACCTCTGCTAATAAAATGTGATTGTCCGTGTGTAAGGTGATGCTCAAAGTCCATATTGCCCTAGGAGTCCCTAAAGTATGATTTTATGTGGCACAGATCACCACCACCACCAGCCATCATGGCCAGGCTGCTGCTGTGGAGCTCGGCTCACCACCGCTTGCATTCTCCTAACTGGTTTCTCCAGGATGCCCTGATTGCTTTTACTACGTCCCCAGAGGATTCTCCCTTGATTTCCCAAAGAATGAAAGATAAGTAATGTTTGCTAACACATTTCTGAAGGCTTAGGGATAACAGAGTGTAACATAAACTGCCTCACAGAGGTTTCCACATGTGGCTGAGGGGCTCCTAGTGCAAGTCCGTCAGGCCTTCCAGGGGCCGGGGGTTTGTGGGAGCCCCGTCAGCAGGAATTTCCAAGCATCTCCTACCACGGAGCCCCAGGGAATGTTATCCTGGGGCAGGAGAGGAGACAGGACTTGGGCTGGAAGGGAAGACTTCCTCTACTTTATGGGTCCAAACTTTTGTACTGGGAACAACTATCTCCTTTGTCAAAATCCCCTCCATAATCTGCAAGATGCAGTCTGACCCCCAAAGCCTAGACAAAGCAATCACACTAGAGGACTTTTCCCAGTGTGACGTGTTTCATCATAAATAACTCCATGTCAGCCCCTCACAGTCCAATGTAAGTGATGACACACAGAGCAGTAGGTTTTTATTCTCAGTCTTTCTCTTCAGCGTGAGATAAAGGAAAGAACGAGTCTCCATCTATATCTTTAATCTTATAATCTCTGATGAGTAAATGCTTGGACCAAAAAGTCATGCACGTGTGCATGGGCCTGCGCACACTCTCTCTTCCAGGAATAAACAAGACTTTCCAGGCATAGGGCAAATTATCTAGAAATGGAAAAGATAAAAACATTTTTTGAACTGTAGGATTTTATTCTACGGAAGTGAAGAATCATGCAATTTACAACACTAATCAGAACACTTTGACCAACTCTGGGGTCTTAAAGTCATCAATCACACTTTAGGAAAAAATGTTCATTATTTCCTTTATACTTGTGAACCAAACAGACCATTTTGGTAAAATTCTAAATTCAAAAGAAGTCTTCTTGGGGCTGGCCCCGTGGCCAAGTGTTTAAGTTTGTGCACTCTGCTGCAGCGGCCCAGGGTTTCGCTGATTCAGATCCTGGGCAGGGATGTGGCACTCCTCGTCAGGCCACGTTGAGGCGGCGTCTCACATGCCACAACTAGAAGGACCTGCAACTAAGATATACAACTATGTACCAGGGGGGATTTGGGGAGATATAGCAGGGGGAAAAAAAAAGAAGTCTTCTTGAAAGGTGAATTGATAACTCTGCTTTAAGGATAGCTTTTGCATTAAACTCTCGTTTAAGAAAAAATCAAAGCCTGCCAGGCTTTTCCTAGTAGTTCGCTTATTCCAGAGGCACTTTTCCAGTAATTTAGGTGTTAGCAAGGTAAGTTTCTGATCAACAAAAGGAGATAAAATGAAGTGCAATCCTTAAAACTTTATCAGAGAAGATCTTTCTCAGGATATTTTCTCAGAGCCTCTTTATTTTTACTTTTGAAATAATTCAAATAAGTTTGTGCTTATCTGGCTTTGCATTCCACAGCAGATTTGATGTTGCAATGCAGCCTAGAAATCAGAGGCGTGCACAGATAGGTGGGGATTTGAATTGTGGCAGCTCTGCTGCCTCTGGTGATATCCCTTGGGGAAGTCACTTAATCTCCCAGCAGTTTTCTCATCTGTAAAGCGGATCTACCTACCTCGTAGAATTGTGGTGAGAATGTCAGAGAAGGTCTACAAATCCTAGACTTTGGGCCATAATACACACTATCATAATTGTGGAGTAGAGGAGAGCTGCAAGAAGCAGGCACTGTGACAACAGTAAGACGTGACTATTTTGAGCCAAATAGTGAGAAGACACCATCTGTTTAGTAATCTGTTCCAGAATTCCTAGGATCTACATCAAGTAGTCTTAATTTTTGTGGTTCACCTTTTATTCCATTCTGAAAAATGAGGCATTAATGGATCTCTCCTATTCTCCAGAATTCCCTACTTTCTTTGATCTCTGCAAACATTCATTACCCATGGTTATAATTTGTCATTGGCCTAAAAGCTCACACTCATTTAAAGTTGCAAAGTGAAGTCTCTTTTTTCAACTGTTCAGTTTAGTTCCCTTTCCTTTTTCATCCTATCTTTTTCAGTTTGAAGATAATTTCCTTTAAGAAATAACCTAAAGTTGAGTAGTTCTGACTTTCAGCTCTGAACAGTGGACTCTCCTCCAAATTCTTAGCCTTTACTTGATTTCTTGCTGCAAAAAAAATTTTCCCCCAGAAAACCTTATTTTTGCTGCCTTTGGCAATATTTCATGAATTTCTCCTATCTAAGATTCTTGACAATCTCCTGACAAGTTGATTCTATTAAGTTTTCTTTTGAATTTGATATTGTGCACCTCTCTTTTATATGTACCTGCCTGTCTTTTTAGAAACTTTTTTTTTTTTGAGGAAGATTAACCCTGAGCTAATATCTGCTGCCAATTCTCCTCTTTTTGCTGAGGAAGACTGGCCCTGAGCTAACACATCCATGCCCATCTTCCTCTACTTTGTATGTGGGATGCCTACCACAGCATAGCTTGCCAAGCAGTGCCATGTCTGCACCCGGGATCCAAACTGGCGAACTCCGGGCCACTGAAGCGGAACACGCGAACTTAACCACTGTGCCACCAGGCTGGCCCCAGAAACTGATTTTGTTTGAGAGCTGACTCCCTATGCAGCCACATAGGGTTCTTTAGATGCCTCTAACTTTTTATATCAATGTAGGTTTAATTGCATTGTCAGAATTTTACTTATTAGAATCTCATACTCATCCCCCATGAATCATATTTTTAAAGTCTCTGACTATGGAATCATAGTTGATTTTTTAAAAGACTAATCTTTTTCTTTAAAGCCCAAGGTAGGTAACTTTCATTCTCTAATAATGTCCAAGAGCTCCTAGGTGGCACAGTTGTCTTCTCCCAAGATTCTCTTACTTCTACCTATAAACCAGATTTTTAAAAAATTTTGGTTAAAATTACATCAAGTAATAATTCTCCGCACTGTTTTCTCAATTTCTAAGACATCAAATTGTCATATATTCTAATGAAGAATTTATCAGTTCTCCCTTTTATGCATACCTAGGTGAGGTTTTACAATCAAAAATTCAATAACTTTGGAGATATTTCCTCTTAGAACAAAAAAGTTTTGCAAACTCAGTCATTAGTGAGTTATAAATCAATGTGGGTTGCAGCCAGCATTGTGAAATGAAATTGAAGAGAAAAGCCAAAAAAAAAAAAAAAAGAAAAAAAGAAAAAGAAAAATAGCTGAGTGCACTGCTTGTAGTAAGAATAGGTATTGTTTTGTGAAATTTTTAGTTTCATGTATGTGCATGCATTCTGTGCTCTTGCATGACATAAAATGTCTTTTATGGTGTGGTTCATGGACTAAAAACTTTCAAAAACCGCCATCTCATATGATAACACATTATTTGTAGTACCGCAATGAAAAGTGTAGAAGATTTTTAAAAATTAAATCATATTTAATATATACATATACATGTGTACATATATAAAATTATAGTACAAAACATAGAAATATAACTATTTTGTTTATTTTTACCACTCCATCTGTTGATAGAAGGTAGTTTAAGAACTTAGCAGCAATATTTTAGCTAAAAATACATGATAATTCATTTTTAGGTGCCTTTTAAGAAATTCAATCTTTGTGAAAGTATATTTATTCCTAGATCTCAGAACTCTGTTTTAGTACTAGAATATCCAATAATTTGTTGAATAAAATTACCGAACATTCATAGATATCAAGCAGCACATGAAAATGTCCTACAGCATCCAATTTCAAGTTTCCAATTTTTTTCCATAAAGGGTGATTGGTGGTCACATGGTAAAGGACTGGAACATCCATTGCAACCACCTTATGACACTAAGAGCACCCAGAGGAGTGACTTTCAAAAACCATCGTGTCTGCCGGTTTTGCCAGTGAAACACAGCAAGTTGCAAAAGCCTTCTTGTGGAATAGGTAAGGTTAGCAGTGGTAAAACCTCTGCTCCATTTTCTCAGGTTACTGCTGTCAAGTTAAGATGTATTAGACGTGCTGGCACTACTCTACAAGAGTTGAAAATAGATATACAGCAAGTGCAACCCTTGACAAGTTTGTTCTTTATCCCTTCCTGGTGGACAGCTTATCTCCAAATACATTTAATGTAACATAATAAAAATTGTACTGATCATTGATAACACCAGCCTCCAAGTCAGAAACTTAGTAGTGTTCTCCTCGTTATTGTTGCCACCAAATTTTAAAAATTAGAACTATTAAAATAGTAGGCAACACTTGGGGCCAGCCCAGTGGCGTAGTGATTAATTTTGCATGCTCTGCTTCAGTGGCCTGGGGTTTGCATGTTCAGATCCCAGGCACAGACCTAGCACTGCTCCTCAAGCCATGCTGTGGCAGCATCCCACATAAAATAGAGGAAGATGGGCACAGATGTTAGCTCAGCAACAATCTTCCTCAAGCAAAAAGAGAAAGATTGGCAACAGATGTTAGCTCAGGGCCAATCTTCCACACACACACACACACACAAATAGTGGGCAACACTACATGGCACTATTACTCAAAGTGCCCTCTGAGGGACACTAGTTTTTTTGTTGTTTTTTTTTTTGAGGAAGGTTAGCCCTGAGCTAACATCTGCTGCCAATCCTCCTCTTTTTGCTGAGGAAGATTGGTCCTGCACTACCATCTGTGCCCATCTTCCCGTACTGTATATGTGGGATGCCTGCCACAGCATGGCTTGATAAATGGTGCACAGGTGCACGCCCAGGACCCAAACTGGTGAACCCTGGGCCACCAAAGTGGAATGTGCGAACTCAACTGCTACACCACCAGGCCAGCCCCAACACTAGTTTTTTATGATGTTTATAGATACTGCTCAAAAAAATAGGGGAAGTGGTCAAATAAGTTTTGCAAAAACTGAATTTATAAAGTTAAACAGATTTTTTTTTTCCTACAGAACTCTTAAAACCCTTATTCTAAGCATAAGCAAAATGAATTTCCAAGAAGGGGAATAAAGAATGCTGTTTCCCCCACTTACCGACCACCTTACCCTTTTTCAGGAGATCATCTCACATTAGTGGTATCCCACAAAACATAATTTAGGAAATACTGTTACGAAGACTATTAAAATATTTTCAGATCTAAAATTTATTTTACCTGACAATGTCTTTTTAATAAACTAAGACTTTCATGTTTATTCAAGTTGTATCTGTTTCTTCACCGATGTCCTAGTCATCTCTACTTCTGGAGTAGGATTTAGCAAGTCTTAAAGAAGTTCAGGATCAAGTCAAAACAAAAATGTTTTTCTGGAGTACCCACTCTTGTCCTCACTCCTTAGCTTTAGCTTACGATGCAAAAGATCATAAGCTAAACTTCAAATAATTTTCTGAACACGGCAGCAGACAACAAAGATTACTTTTAGAGTTCAACAGTCCTTCACTTCATTTTAACCTTGAAGCCTGACCTTTAGATTGAAGGCCAGCACGTTACAAAATGGTCATATTCAGCATGATTGCCACCTCAAGGGTGGTAGTTAATGGAGAGGGCTAGCTGTTAGGTAATCTGTAGCAATGGCCCATTTAGAAAGTTTATAAAGTTTCCACTTCTGATTGAGAATGGTAGACTGAGCAGAAACATCTAAATCCCCTGTCTCCCAAGACCCTATTAAATGAGAGACCCTTTATGGGTCGATTGTTTTGCTGTCATTTAAAGGGGAAGAGAATGGAAGGAAGAACTTTTTGGAATGTGGGAAGAAATGGAAGACTCTTACTGGATAAAAAAGAGCAAAGAGGCAAATAGCCTAGAATACCTAGAAGGAGAGGTAGCAAAGAAGAGCCAATCTTCTTGACAAAACCCCAAACTAGCTGCAGGCTCCATCAGCAGGCACACAAAAGGCAAGAATGGAAAGGGGGGAGCACAGAATCAGCAGGGTACTTGAAAGTCTGTCTCTTAACTGCTCCGGTCATGAGCACTCCACCACATCCCCGCATTAAGACTACTAGAGCCCAGTGTCTTAGCCAGAATTCAGCTACCACACCACGTACTGTAGTAATTCAAGCTGGTCTCCTATCTTAGTCTTAATTTATGAATGAACACCCAAAGATAAGAGTTATGCCAAAATTTTTTTTTAAGGTTTGGAAGATAAAAGTCAAGGAAATATCGCAGAGCATAAAATAACAGAACAAAAACCTAGAGGGGCCAGCCTGTGGCCAAGTGGTTAAGTTCGCGTCCTCTGCTTCAGCGGCCTGGGGTTTCGCTGGTTCGGATCCTGGGCACGGACATGGCACCACTCGTCAGGCCATGCTGAGGTGGGGTCCCACATAGCGCAACCAGAGGCACTCACAGCTAGGATATACAGCTATGTACTGGCGGCCCTTGGGGAGAAGAAGATTGGCAAAAATTGTTAGCTCAGGTGCCACTCTTCAAAAAAAAAAAAACAAAAAAAACCACTCTGAAAGTAGTATCCAGAATAATGTCTAAAAGAAAACCTAGAAAATATGAGAGAATAAAAGCAGAATGGAGAATCAGTCTGGGAAGTCCAACTTTTCTGGAGCTCCAGAAAAGAGAAGAGTAAAAAAGAAGGCAAGATAATTATCAAAACATAACATTTATTGAGCACATACTATCTGCCAGGCTCTTTATGGAACTTTCTAAATATATACTCATTTAATTCTCGCACCAACCCTATGCAATATAATAGTAAAGTAATACTATTAATACTCTCGTGTTTCAGATAAGAAGGCAAGCACAGTTTAAATAGCTTGCTCAAGGCTACACAGCAAATAATTGGTATTTAAACTCAGATAATCTGACTCCAGTACCTCTAATAATAACCAGTACTCTACATAGCCTCTAGAACAATAATGAGAAGAAAGTTTCCCAATATAAAAGAGAGAGATTGAAAGGGTCTACTGAGTGCTTCCAAGTATGAAGGGAAAATAGATGTCTATACATCATTGTGAAATTGCAAAACAACAATTACAAAGAGAAGATTCTAAAAGTTTCCATAAAGAGAAAGAAAAATAAGTTACTGTCTAAGGAATAAGAATCAATATGGAATCAAGCAGCACTGATGCAAGAGCACAGTGGTGTTACTGTCTTCAAAGTTGTCAGGGGAAATAATTTTTTTTTTTTTTTTGTGGAAGATTAGCCCTGAGTTAACATCTGCTGCCAATCCTCTTTTTGCTAAGGAAGACTGGCCCTGAGCTAACATCTATGCCCTTTTTCCTCTACTTTATGTGTGGGACACCTGCCATAGCATGGCTTGACAAGCGGTGCCTGTCAAGGTCCTTGTCAAGGACCTACAACGTGCTTGTAGGTACACACCTGGGATCCCAACCAGTGAACCCTGGGCCACTGAAGCAGAATGTGTGAACTTAACCCCTGCACCACTGGGCCTGCCCCTCAGGGGAAATAATTTTTAACCCAGAAAACAGGATTTATTTGACATGGACACTAGAATATTTTTTTTCCAACTCGCACTTGGCATTGGACTCACTGAGAAGGAAATGTAGTCCTAGCATAATATTTGGCCCTTAAGTGAACAAAATTCATTAATTATATTATAAATGCTATTATAATAGTTTTCAACTTTCACTATCAATCTATAGACATAATATGGAAAATTTTAGTATCGTTACAGAACAGAATTATGTTGTCAGCCTTAACAAGAAAATTAAATATACAACTGAGAGAAGATGGAAGCAGAAGAGAAGGGTGCTAATATCATTATTTAACATAGAGTACTCAAGAGATACCGCCCAGAGTAGATGAGACAAGGAGTAGAAATTTAAGGCTGAAGTCAAAGGAGCTAACATAAGAACCAATTTCTCTCTCCAGCCCTGGCCCTTTCACTGAACTTCAAGCTCATGTATTCAACCACCTACTTAACATCTCTTCTTTTCTTTTTCAAACTTAACATGACTAGAATAGAACATTTCATTTCCCCCATCCAAATCTATCCCACATCAGTCTTCCCCATCTCAATAAATGCCACTTCTTTTCTTCCAGGTGCTCAGGTTTTGATAACCTAGAAGTCATTCCAAAACTCCCTACCCTCTACATCCAATCCATCAGAAAGTCTTGACATCTCTATCTCCAGAACATATCACAAATCTTCATACCAATGTATAGCAGCCACTATTATCCTGCTTCCTTTCTTTCTCCTCCAGAATATGTTTCCACACCATCGTCAGAAGGATCTTTTACAAACACAAATGACATCATCACTTGCCTCCTTTAGATCCTCCAGTTACTTCTCACTGTTCATAGAATAAATTTCAAGTTCCTCACCATAGCCTGCAAAGCCCTATTTGGTCTACTGAATCTACCTACTTTATCTCCCATTGCTCATGCTATCATGATATAAGGATGTAGAGAAGGAGCATCAAACTCAGACCAAGGAGACAGAGAATGCTCTCTGAAAGTCATGCTTCTTTTCAAACTGATTTATGCCTGTGTGTTTGTTATTGTATTTCTATAACTTAATTATGTATTCCTGTTGATGCAAATAATCCATAATCAATCTATAAATCAAAATTGGCGTTTGTTATAGGCCAATTTGAAGACTATAGCCCAGGAGAACTTTGCCACCAAGGAAGGAAGCTCTCTCAAGAAGTGGGGTGTACAGAGTGGTTATACACTGTCTTGGAACAAAGAGCAAAACATCACATATGACAGGAGTATCTCTTTTACTACTGTCATGAGATACTTGGCTAGCACAGCAGGTCAGTGGTCACAAGATGAGTTAAAGCGGGTCAGTAATTAATCCTTCGTTTCTGGGAAGACATGCCTATCTTTAAAGAAATGCTGACATGGGGGAGGCAACATCTCCATCTTTAAGGGCATCATTCTTGGCTTTGGGACATTGTAATTGTTTAAAGCAGACATACAATGCATACTCAGTAGGCCACATCAGGTCTTTCTGGAAAAACAAGGTCAGGCTGATTAGTTTTAAACCAAATGGCTTC